TATTTAGCTATGATATTACTTCATTGTCTATGGTGCCTTTTAGCAGGATGTAGTTTCCTTCCTTATCTCTTTTGATTAGATCTATTTTTGCTTTTGCTTTGTCTGAGATCAGGATTGCTACCCCTGCTTTTTTACTTCAGCTGACGCATAATATATTCTGCTCCAGCCTTTTACCTTTACCCTGTATGTGTCACTCTTTTTCAAATGTGTTTCCTGTAAACAACATATTGTAGGATTATGGTTTTTAATCCATTCTGCAATCCGTTTCCGTTTTATGGGAGAGTTCATCCCATTCACATTCACAGTTATGATTACTATCTGTGTCTTTTTCTCCATCCTTTTCCCCCTATTTATGCTTTTCTTTCTCCTTTTTCCTTTCCCCTTCACTAGTGTTTTGCTTTTGACCACCACCTCCTTCAGTCCCTTCCCCCTTTTATTATCCCTTTCCCTTTTCTTCCCCTTTAGTCTTACTGCTGCTTCCCTCCCTTCTTTCCCCCCTCCCTTTTTTTCCCCTTTTCCCTCCTACTGCCTATAGGGCAAGTTAGATTTCTATACCTAACTGATTATATTATGCCCTTCTTGAGCCAAATCTGATGAGAGTAAGGTTCAAACAATGCTCCCCCCCCTTTCCCTCTGCTGTAATAGGATTTTGTGTCTTTTCCTGTAATGTAATTTACCCTTGTCTGCCTCCTCCTTTCTCAGTACATTTTCTAAGATCAGATTGATCCACTTATTTGGATCCATTTAACCCACTTGATTAGATTTTTTTTTATCATTACATCAAAGTCAACTAATATCCACCCTCTTTATGTATACTCCTTTAACAAGGTGTAATAACAATACAGTTCTCAAGGGTTGCAAGTCTCATATTCCCTTGTAGGGGTTTAAACAGCCCCCCCCTTATTAACAACATATTGTATCCTTCTGTCCCATTTACCTTTTTAAGTCCTTCTTGAGTCCTGTACTTGAAGATCAAATTTTTTGTTGAGCTCTGGTCTTTTTATCAGGAAAGTTTGGAAGTCTCCTATTTCGTTGAATATCCACCTCCTCCCTTGAAAAATGATGCTCATTTTTGCTGGGTAATTGATCCTTGGCTGCATTCCAAGCTCCTTTGCCTTAGGAATATCATGTTCCATGCCCTGCGGTCTTTTAATGTAGAAGCTGCAAGGTCCTGTGTAATCCTGACTGTGGTTCCATGATATTTAAATTCTTTCTTTCTGGCTGCTTGCAGCACCTTCTCTTTCATCTGGTAATTTTGGAATTTTGCTATTATATTCTTGGCGTTGTCAATTTGGGATCTCTTTCAGGTGGTGATCGGTGGATTCTTTCTATGGTTATTTTCCCTTCTGGTTCTAGGACTTCTGGGCAGTTTTCCTTTATGATTTCCTGAAAGATACTGTCCAGGCTCTTTTTTTCATCATGATTTTCAGGTAGTCCAATAATTTTTAAATTGTCTCTCCTGAGTCGATTTTCCAGGTCGGTTGTTTTACTGATGAGGTATTTTACATTTTCATCTATTTTTTCATTTTTTTGTTTCTGTTTGACTGATTCTTGCTCTCTCATAGAGACATTAGTTTCCATTTGTCCAATTCTAGTTTTTAACAGATTGTTTTCTTCTGTTAGTTTTTGTACTTCCTTCTTCAACTGGCCAATTGTGTTTTTTAGGGACTTGTTTCCTTCAGCATACTCTTCTGTTAGTTTTGTACTTCCTTCTTCAACTGGCCAATTGTGTTTTTTAGGGACTTGTTTTCTTCAGTGTACTCTTCTGTTAGTTTTTGTCCTTCCTTCTTCAATTGGCCAATTGTGTTTTTTAGGGACTTGTTTTCTTCAGTGTATTTTTTTTCCAACTGGCCAATTGTATTTTTGAAGGACTCTTTACCTCTCTCATTTGACTATTAAAATCCTTCTTGAGCTCTTCTAAGAAGGCTTTTTGGGCTTCAGACCAGTTCATATTCCCTTTTGTTGTTGCAGATGTGGGTTTGTTGACAATGTTGTCCTCTTCAGAATTTCTGTCTTGATCTTCACTCTTCTCATAATATGAATCTATGGTACGTTTCTTTTTACTCATGGTGTTTCTTTATTCCCTGGCCTTTGAAGAGATTGAGCTTTCCTGCTGGGGAACAGAGGGTACTGACCCAAGCTTCTTGTGTTGGGAGCCTAGGTCTTTGTGTTCTGGGGCCTCTTACGCTGGGATTTGGAAGCTATAGGTTTCTGGCAGCTTACCTTGTGTTGGGCTGGAATCAGCAAGGCCGGAACTTTCAGGCAATTCTAGGTTGCCTGCTTTTCCTTTCCTTCAGCTTTCTTCAGCTCCTTTTAGATGGCTGCTGCAGGATGTTTATCTGCCTGGGGCCCCCAGTGTTGTCTCCCTCGTTTCTGCTAATGCACTGGGAGATTCCTTTGCAGTGGAGTGCCGAGGCTCCTGGTGGTTTTCTGAGCTGGTTTCCACCGGTTCCCCCGCCCTCACTGAGGCACTGGGAGGTCCAGGTGTTGGTTTTTGCCTGCTCTACCACCTGGGCTTCAGGATTTTTCACAATTGGAGGCTTCCTACAGCTCACCTGGTGTTGGGTTGGAATCAGCAAGACTAGGGCTTTAGGAAGCTTTTAGGTTGTTTTCTTCACCTCCTTTCAGATGAATGCTGCAGGGTACTTATCCGCCTGGGGCCCCTTGTTTTTGCTGAGGCACTGGTAGACCTGTTTGCTGGGCTACTGCACTGCTGCTCCTTGTCTTTCTTCTAGTTCAGGTGTTCCAGGGTTGTTTTTTTTTTTCCCTGGGCTGATATTTTCTGGGTTTGCAGAAGTTGATAGGGGAGAGTGACTACCTTTTTCACTCCGCCATCTTGGCTCCCAGAAGCTGATATGGTCTTTTGTTTGACACTTCTTTATCAACATAACAGTGTTGAATTAATGTTGATGTTACCCAAGCAGGGCCTTTTCAGGATCATGGTCATTTAATAGATTCTTCCTGGATACAAACCACTTTTAATTGCATTCGACAAACCCAGTGACATGTACCATTGTCAACCTTTACTATTGCTCCACAATGTTTGTCACTGTTATTGTTATTTTTATCAGTAACAATAATAGTTCCATGTCAAACTGAAAATAGGTCTCTAGTGAAGTAGCCAAGAGATCTATGAGCATGGTCTTATGCTATTTAACAGTTTTTTTATCAATTACTTGGATAAAGGCATAGCTAGCAAGCTTACTAAATTTACAGATGACAGAATGGTGGGTGGAATGGCTAACACCTTGGAACAGAAAATCAGGATCCAAAAAGATCTCAACAAGTTAGAACACTGGGCTAAATCTAATAAACTGAAATTCAATGAGGATAAATGTAAAGCTTTATACTTGGATTAGAAAAAATCAACTTCACAATTAGAAGACAGGAGAGGAATTATTAGAAAGCATTTTGTTTGTAAAAAAATCTAAGAGTTTTAGTGGACTAAATGATCAATGTTAGTGATCATTGTGATGGGGTAGCCAAAAAAGCTATTGCAGTTTTGGCCTGTATAAAAGAGATATAACTTCTAGACATCAAAAGAATTGAGAATTCTACTGTTTAATGTCCTGGTCAGGTCCCATTTGGAATATTTTATTCAGTGCTGAGTATCACTGTTTAGGAAGGACACTGATCTAGGAAAGCATCCAGAATAAGGCAACCAACATGATGAAAAGTTACAAGTCTCTATCATATCCTGAGAATCAGCTGAAGAAACTAGGGGTGTTTCACCTTGAGAAGAGAAGATTTAAGAGGGGATATCAAAGATATCAAAAATATCAAAGATATTTTCAATAATAATAAGTTAACATTTTTATAGTGTTTTAACTTTTGCAAAGTGATTTACATATATTATTTGATGCTTACAATAACCCTATCAGGTAGATACTATTATTATCTCTATTTTGTAGATGAAGAAACTGAAGTGGAGAGAGATTAAAATATTTGCTCATGGTCATATATATCTAGTGTCTGAGGTATGGTTGGAAATCAGTTTTTCCAACTCCAGCATTCTATACACTATCCAATTACCTAGCCGCTTCTAAGATATAAAGGAATGTCATGTGGAATAGGATTTAGCCTTGGTCTGTTTTGACCGCAGAGAAAAGAATGGGCAAAGGACAGAAGCTGCAAAGAGGCGAATGTCAGCATGATGTCAGGAAGAGCTTCCTAACAATTACAGTGATTCCTAAATGGAATGGGATTCTTTGGGAAGTAATTGGTTCCCACTCACTGGACTTCTTCAAGGAAAAGCAATGGGAATTCTTATTCAGGTATGGATTGGAACAGACAGCTTCTGAAGTCCATCTCTGAGATGCCAATTCTGAAATTCCATGATATGATGGGGATATAGAAAGATGAGTAATTCCGAAGCATGGAGCACCAGAAAAGGACATTGATAGGGGCTAACCGGCAGCATGAAAGTACCAGGAAGAGAACAGAATAAACCTAATACCTACAGGTAGCAGAATGGCTTTTTCTTTTACATATGCCTTTCTCACCTTCTAGAGCTCCATTTTCTCAACCTCTCCAGATACCCAACAGTGTCCTGAGTAGATAGCATGGGTGCCCATAAGCCATGCTATGGAACTTTCTTACCTGGGCATTCAAAGCCCTTCATAATCTATTCTTTCTAGTTTTAATAACTAATACTTTCTTATGAGAACCTTCCACTACAGCTAAACCGATCTAATTACTGTCTCTCAAACACACTTTGAAATTTCACCTTGGTCGAAATGCCTTCCAATTCTTTCCTCATGCTCTTCAACAAAATCTACCCACATCTCAAGGTCTTGGTCAAATACCACACTATATCCCACTCTGATAACACTTAAAGAAATGGGCAGATAAGACCATCCTTTATATTTCTTAAGCATGCATAGTGAAAGATGTTAGGACCTCCTGAGTAGTTCAGCTTGCACAATGCAGTCACCTTCATTCCTGGAGTGAGTGGCATACATTTCAAAAACGACCAAATATGTTTTGAAAAAGATATTTACCTTCTTTTAGGCATTCCACTACAAAAGTAAAGCCTGTGGTTCTTGGATGTAAGACATATTCGTATTTCTCAAGTCCATTCTTTTCAGCAAACTCATTGCTTTTAGCCTTGCTATTTTCTAGACAAAATTATAGATAATTAGTAAGCACATAACATTGAAAGAAAAGATAGAGGAAGGGAAGAGGTACAACCTGCTTTGCAATATACTGGCAGTAAATTATACTGTAATTCTAAAACATGCTCCTAATTTTTTTAATTCTAAAAAATATTCCAAATATTTGGAGTCATATCCCTAATATTGATAGCTAAATTGGTTCTTTTATCAGTTAATAATTAATCAGTTACTAATTAGAATCTGTCTCTGATAAATTAGTAACCTTTAGATATATTTTACTGAAAATTTAAATTTGTCTTAAATCTTTAAAGGGTTCATAAAAACATAATATATTACATATAATGGATATGAAAATATTTATAAAATATGTTCAGAAACCACTAATCATGTGTAAACAATACTAAAAAGAAACCCACCTACTGTATGTCAAATTGCTGCTTAATTTAACATGAAACTTTAAAATTTACTTAAGCAGAGACAACACTTTCTGAAATATATCATTAACATTTTTTTTACTAATTTACAGTCTCTGTCACACAGAGTCAATATCTATATGTCAACTTTTTCTGGGCAAAAAATGTTAGCATTTTAACCAAAACTTTCTTTTGGCTGAATAGACATGCTATTAATGTAGGATATGCAAATTGCCAAATGTAGGTCTGACTGAATATAGGCAAGTGTGGTTCCTCTTTTTTTGTTCTTTAAACTATAATGTTCTCAAAAGAACTCAAACTCCTTATTCAGAGGATAATTAGGGGGAAAGCACACAGTTAGTTGGCTTCAAACTGATCTGAGAACTCATTAAGTATAAGTTGAGTACCTCTTTGACAAAATCTACAATTTTCAGTTTCTCTACCTTATACTACAGCATATACAGAACCAGGAAAACAAAACACAAATGCCATGGATAATTTTCCTATACTTTAAGCATGATACATATTTTATTACGTTTAAGAATATTGAGACCCACTTCCAAGGAAATTAAAGTAATTTAGATTTTGCAGGATAAAAACAAATATTCTTTTAAGATAGTCATTGTGAAGGCATTATATGATTTCAGAATTGAAAAATGAGTCAAAAGGGTTAGGATTAAAAGAGCAAATCCAAAATAGAAACAACTTCCAAAGGAGTCAGTTATCCACATTCCCTACCTACACGATGGAGTTAGAGTCTGTTAGTACACTGGACTTGAAGTAGGACTCACACTCACATTTAGTGTTATGAATCATATGATGTAAGATTAGTGCTAGTGTAGGCCCACAGTAGAAGAAACATTGGACAGTTGGTACACATGGGCTCTGTCTTCACTTTGCCACTAACTAGGCCAAGTCACTTCCACTTCACAAGCTTCAGCTTCTTCATGGGGAAAGCAGAATCCCTTTTCCTCCCACATCTGGAATGGCTCTCTCAGTCCCCTATTCTCTTTCTTCCCTGCCAGACACCTGTTGAAATCCCTCTTCTTCATTCAAGGCCCAGCTCATGCACAACATCTTTCATGAAGCCTTTCTGAGAGTCTCCCTCCTCAAATCTCTTATGTCAGTCTATTTGACTTCTCTTATTCACTTAACATATTGTAATTTGTAACGTGGCAAAATGTGTACCTGCCTTTTTCTCCTTTACTAGACTACAAGTTCCATTCAGCTTCACCTTTGTATCTCCATCTGCCTAGGAGCATCCTGCATATATAATTACATTAAGTACTTTAAAATATTGGTTGGATGGAATTATTCCAACACAAGACAACTTACCTGTGAGGTCAGTCCCTTCTGGGAATATGAGGAGTTGAAGTGGTTCCTGAATATCACAGAAATAATTCAACATGTTTTCAAAGTGACTCTTATCATCCTTCCACCTCCTATGAATGAAGATATAGGCAGCAGCTTGCATTGCCCAACCTGGAATAAATTTGAGAAGTATTTAAAATAGGTCAGTATTGTCTTTCTCAATGAGTACAAACACATTTTGGTTAGTTTTTTCTTGTATTTCTCAATCATAATAAGTACCGCACCCAACTGTGATCTGGGATCATGAGACCCTCATCTATCAGAATTGTTTCAAAGGGAACTGCCTCACCCCATTTCACCACTCTCCATACCTCCCAGAAAGCTTGTCCTCTACAGTACTAATGACATTATTCTTAAATACTATAGGAAATGCATCTCGTATTATCCTTCAAAAATTCACAATACACAGATAAATATATATACAAATACTGAGCACACAAAAACCCAGTTAGATGACAAAGTATTTTTTTTTTATCACTGATGGATAGAAGGAAGGGAGTGAAAGTTAGGGGTTAGCTGAAAGAAATGTCTAATTAGGCAGATGAAGTTAAGAACATACCTGCCAGCTTAGCTATCCTTGGTCATATTAGGATTTTCTATTAACCTTTCAGAATGAGGACAGGGAAGCATAACTAGTTCATTCTTCTCTCACTCAGTTCCTGCCTCAGAACAAAGGGTTGTACAATAGCTGATACAACTAGATTGAGAGAATAATTAGATGAGGTTATTAAGTGAGCAGGATATCCTTGATTCAAAACTTGAATGACCTCTTAAAAGGGGGTGGCAACTTCAGGGATACTGAAAATCTGTCTTAGACTTTGAAATGTAGGCAGATTAAAATTGCCTCCAACTTTCAAAGGAAGTTGATTAGAAACTTCCTAGGAAAGAAGGTAATTATACCAGTACTAATAGAAGTAGTAAGATGGAATTAAGGACACATAGGACTAGCCTTCTGCCCTTTTTAATGGCCTTTCTTTCCCTGGTGGGTAGTGTAGCAGGCTGGCAGCAGGGTTTTTCCTCTCCCTGATAAGGAAAGGACAAATAGCATCCTCTCACTCTCATCAAGACAGGCTGAACTAGACCAAGGAGAGCTTCTAATTATAAGACTATATATGTATATGTGTATATGTTTATAGTCAATATTGAGAATTAGACCCTCAATTTACGGAAATTATTTTTGATGGATTTGTATGTACTAAGTTAGAAATTTCCGAGGAAACCCATTATGACAAGTACTCATTAAATATCTCTCTCCCTATCTTGAGAAAAATTATCTTTTTATTTAGTTCAGGTTCAACCAACCTAGCCTCCTCTCATCTACTACTTAAAAATCCCAAGTGTGCCTAGCTATAAAGGGCTGATCAGTTACAGTTCCAAATCCCTGCCCCTGCTGATATTGTTAGGGACATGGGTGTCAACATGAGAAAAATCCGTCGGCATAACACACAAGATCCCAATTTTTAGAAAAGCACTATATTAATGTCACTTATTTTTATCCTAACAAACAGCTTTCTCCCTATTACCTCCAAGATCAAACAGGAAATCTTCTATTTAGCTCTTAAAATCCTTTACAACCTGGCCCCTTTCTACCTTTCCACTATTCTAAGAGAGTGTGAGGCTGACAACTTTGTGCAACTCTGCCTCACTTAAATACAGTTCACGTGCAAATCAAGACATAACCCCACGATGTCATTGGTCCTCTTCAAAAAAGGACAATAATACACCACCACACTCTTCTATCACATACTCTGATCCTATAATGCTGGCTTCCTTGATGGTCCTCCCATAAGACAGACCATCTCCCCACTTTGAATGCTTCCCTCTTCATCTCTGTCTCCACCTCCTGGCTTCTTTCAAATAATTAGTTAAAATCTCACCTTCTGCAAGAAGCCTTTCTGAGATTTATATACATACATATGCATATATATTCAAATGCACATGTGTATATGTGTGTGAGAGTATATGTATGTGGGGGGCAGAGAGGGAGGGAGAGAGGGAGAGGAGAGAGAGAGAGAGAGAGAGAGAGAGAGAGAGGAGAGAGAGAGAGAGAGAGGGAGAGAGAGAGAGAGAGAGAGAGGAAGAGGGAGAAGGAGAGGGAGAGGGAGAGGAGAAGGAGAGAACATGAGTTCATTAGAATCTGAACTGTGAGCTCATTAAGGGCAGAGATTGTTTTTGCCTTTCTTTGTATCCCAGCACTCAGAACAGTGGCAGGCACCAAGTTAAGCATTTAATAAAATTCGTCTTGTTAACTAATCTTTCAATTTTGTGAAGCAACGGTACATCTGAAATCTATTATGCCTAATATCATGACTTACTGATAAGAAATAATTTTGTGAAGATTTAGGAAAAGGGGGTCCTTCTGCCAGTACTTCTCCCACCTTTTTGTCCAAACACGTATACGTATCTGTTTAATCTATGGTTCTAATTTCTGTGTTCTCCACAGTGTCCCTTTTAGGATAATGTCTTTTTTAAACCATTCTGAATAGTATTCCTATTATAAAATCTGATTATATGATTAAATCTGAAAAATCATCAATCTATCCAGCTAAGTACTCACTTTAGGATTGATGTACAATTCTTGTAGTATTCCTGAGTTACTTATAATGCCAGCTTTAGATCATTCTTTAGCTACAACCAAATCTCCACCCAGATGTGGCTGGCATGTTGGCTGAAAGGATACTTGGCCACTTCAGCCATTTAGGATTTAGTCTGTACACTTGTTTTAAAAAAAAAAAAAGTCCAAATAAGTAGCATTTTATTGGTCACTGTTTCTAATCTTTGCCTCCAGTCCTTGATTGCCTTCTTTAATAATTTAATACTCTTGAAACAGATATCTTCATGGAAAAAATGCCTTAAAAATCAATAGGACAATAGTACCAACTGAATCAAGGAAATTAAGAAGTTAATAATGAATTGGCCAGACTTTAATTCATACATTTTTTTCATGAAGATCATTAATACACAATTATATATACAAATAAAATGTCCTATACATTTTTCATGTGAAAAAAATAAACGAAAGTCATTTAAAGCAGTTAGATGTCATACAAAAATAAACCTGTTAAAACAAGCCAAGAACATTTCACTTAACTGTAAGTACTAACGAGGTGGCAAGCAGGCAAAATTTAACCAACAGTTCTCCAAAGTCTTCTAAAAATTCCTTTGGTCTGGTATTACAAGTCTCTATGATCTGGATCCAACCCACCTTTCCAGCCTTATTTCATACTATTTCCATTAATATAGTCTATGATCTAGCCAAACAAAGCTCTTCACCATTCTCTGGGCTAGATTTCCCCCTAAAACATTAGTTATTAATTTTTTAGTTATTAAAATTCCATAAAAGGTATTAATTAGAGATATTAAGTTCCAAGGATAGGCTCCCTTCCACATATATGTCCCTCATTTAGAATGCCTGATAATTTCATTAGCTAAAAAATGTGATAACTATTACAATTGCTACTGGAGGCAGTGCCAGAGCTCCTAAACATAAACTCAGAAATTCCTGGACTTTTCCCAGTTCAATAAACATTTACTGTTGATAAGAGAATCCACAGCAGATGTGAGTGGAGGGAGTGTCAGGGAGTTCTTAGAAGCACAGAACTTGAAGTAGGACCTCTGCATGAAGGCAGGCTCCCTTAAAGAGAATGTTGAAGAGCTTACTTCAGAAACAGTGTCCCAAAAGTCATAGTGCAGTTTTAAGCTTTAATACTTTAACAATGCACATTTAACATTGACTTTTGGGACATCCTGTATAAGGATTCTTCATTTAGCTGGAAAAAATGAGTTCCTCCCATTTTCCCCTTTTGTTCTACCCTAGGTATGCAGAGAAACTTGGATTCAAAACACAGAAAGTATCAGGGAGCTTTATTTCTCCTGCCAAAGGAATCTGTTCTAGAATGCTTTGGAATAATATAATCCTCCCTGAAGTAAAAGCTGCTTTTTATCCTATCTCTACCTGGGACTCTATGTTTTGGAATGGTTCTGAAGGTTCACATGGCCAAATGCTGTTGCTTAACATAACATTTTCCCTGAAGCTTGTAATATGTATAATTTATAAATTAGCATTAGTTCATATTTCATTAACTGTGAATAATAATAACCCGGACCCCTATATGTGAAATTAGGCAGGTGCTATGGCTGCTCCATGAGGAGGAGTTCAGAGTGCAGACTTTAAAGAGAAATGCTGAAGGGGTGGGTCAGATCATAACAGGAGAGTTTGTCGACATATCTCAGAGCACTAGCCTCCAAAGCAGTAAACTTCCTATTTACCAACCTTTTGGCAAACAGAATAACATACCTGCCACTGCTGTCAAGCAAATGTTGGAGAGGAAGGGTCCTATAAAACAGGGAAAGGGGGAAAGTCTAATTAACTTCATGATGGTACAGAGTGAATCCCAGAAAGTCCTAGTATAATCAGGATTTCTGGTCTCCTGCTGGAGCATCCATTTGTATCAGTAAGTTAACACTTTGTCATAAGTACAAATGACAAACACATTACCCCATTCCATCCCAGGAAGGAAAACACTATAAAGTAATTTGTGAGAGAATTGCCACTAGGAACCAGAGGCTTAAGACACTACTTTCCACAGTGTATCTGTAAGTGGAATCTCTTACTGAGCCATTTGAAAGCTACCTCACAAACTAGAATATTGACTCTCTCAGTTTTAAAATCCTGATGATGTATAGCTGGCTGCCAGATCATCTGTGAGAGGTAGCTATTTATTACCTATTCCCTCAGAACCTTCAAACAGAAAAGCTAAAAGGGCTTAAATTCTATACATCAAAATGTATTATTGGCATAAGAGACTACTAATTAGAGCAAGGAAGGAAGGACTGAAAGAAAGAGGGAAGGAAAAGAGAGAAGGAAGGAAGGAAGGAAGGAAGGAAGGAAGGAAGGAAGGAGAAAAGCATTTACAAAATCAAGTATACTAAGCACTAGGTTAAGCACTGGGCATATAAACACAAAATCATGAGACCCTGTTCAGAACTTAACATTCTAGTAAGAAGAGACAATGCATAAGAAAGTGTTAGTAAGGGAAGGGTGTTTTGGTTTGGAAAAACAAGAAGAATATTAAGTATGAAGCAGCAGTAGTACTGATTTGATTATTGTTCCCAAAGGCAAGAAGTGACAGTGACAAAGAGTGGGGGTTGGGGTGGCTGGTGGAGGTAATAGGAAGTTAGAGAGAAGATGAAAGTAGCTGGCCAGGATGGCTGATCAGGTAGAACGTGAAACAAAATCTGGTGATTAGGGCTGGCTAGCTAAAGTAAACCATGTGCTTCCTCTGCTGGCTGATTCACCCATCTGGACAACAATCTCCTGGGGGTGTTTCCTAACCTGAATGGATTAAGCTGTCTAGGTTATGGTCTCAAGGAGGTCCCACGGTCCAGGAGAAGCAACTTCAAGGATGGCAAGGAAACTGTCAAAAGTGGATGGTCTCATAGTCTATAGGGACAGCTCTTAATCAAAGGCCAATAACTCACATCTATATAGGACTTCATTACAAAATGCTCTGACACTTCAACAATATATGTACATTTATTTATTCATATAATACTTATTAAGACTCATGCTAGATGATGGGAGAAATACAAACTTTAGAGAAGATAAAAGATCCTTGTCTTATCCTCAACATTTACAACAAAGATAACTTTTATATACTATTTCGATATTTGCAAAATGCTTTATATACATTATCTCACTTTGATCGTCACAGCAACCCTGCTAAATATCCATAGACTTTATTATGCCTATGTCCAAATAAGGAAACAGAGGCCTGGAGACTAGCCAATGGTCACAGAGCTAGTGAGGGTCACGGGTGGGATGAAAATGCAGGTCATCTTGATCCAAAGTCCAGCACTCTTTTCATTATGCGATACTGTCTACCTAACAAATACCAACATATTCATAAATGTGCATATACATATCACATAAAGGAGCCCATAGCAGTTATATTTCCTCGATGTACTTCACTTTGGCGGTAAAATCGTATAGCTATAAAATCTTCACTTATTTCTAGGATCAGACATTGTGAACCACTGCTAACTTATCAACTAGGATTGAATACAGTAAAGTGGGGCATAAACGACTGTTCCAAGCTACCTCTCCGGTCTTGTACATCATTCCCATTCACAAACGCTTCAGTGTAACTGATCTTCTTCCTAGTCTTCACACCTGACACCTCATCACCTATTTCCATGCCTTTGCCAAGGTTCTCCCCAATGTCTAAAACGTGCTCTGCCTTTCAGAGGTCCTTATTTCCTTTAAAGTTCAACTCAAGTGCCATTTCCTACATAGGACCTTTCTTCACCTCCTAAGGGGGTCACTGTCTCACCATTAAATTACCTTGTATTCATATGATATGTGCTTAGTTTATATGTGTTCTTTCCCCTTATGGAAAATTTCCCTTATGTAAATTCCCTGAAGGCAGGGACTATATTTTCTTTCTTTCTTTCTTGTGTAGTCCCATGACTTAACAGTCAGTGCCTGGAACGTTAGCAGAGGATGAATAAATGCTTGCTGATTGGTATTTTGTGAGAGGAACTATAAAAACTCAAGAGAAGAAAACAAGGGAAGAGCCAAGTAAAGGTATCCCAAACATATAAGCTGGGACCTGATTGATCTTAACCCTTTTAACAATGCAAGGAAAGAAAAATGGGGGGGGGGGGTTGAACTTACATATCAGTACTGAGATTTCTTAGAGTAAAGAGGAACATGAGTTGTAGGACCAGGTAGACAACATCAGAGCCCCACATTCATATGTTGTCAAAGAACAGCCACTTACCCAAATGAAGAGCCAGAGAATTAATCAAACTGATGTGCAATTATTAAATATCTGCTACGCACCCTCAGGCACCATGCTAGACAGAGGGAATAAAAGACAAAAATGAAAGTCCCTGCCCTCAAGCAGCAACTTTATTCTGACAGGAAGGCAACACATACTGTACAAGTATTTACAAATATATAAGCAAAACAAATACAGGATAATGAGAATGGGCAGTAGTAGCTGGCAGGATTAGGAAAGGCTTCAGGTAAAAGGTGACTTTTGTGTTGAATTCTGAAGGAAACAAGGGATTCTAAGATTCAAAGGTGAGGAAAGAAATGTATGCCAAAAATGGGGGAATAGGCAGTGTAAAGTATGCAATTTTTTCCAATCTGATCCAACTTCATCTCTTTTTACTACAATTTATTGTCCATTTGTGATATCCATTAAAATAAATACATACATAACATATAGAAACTAGAGTCTGCCTATCCAGCTGCATGCTATAACTTAAATGATATGTAATATTAATTTGCTTTCTTTTTCTACTATAGATAACATCACACCAATCTCTACAGCACTGGTGTGAGTTTCACTAGGAAAGCAGGTGTTATATTTTTCCAGGGCTCAAGGTAATTAGTACAATGCTTTCTGAAAATAGGAACCCTTTGGAAACTGTTGTCGTGAATTGGAAATCATTCTTTTCTTGGACTTTGTACAAAGTGTCTTCTATGACCTTACAGAAAGCAAACCTCATTAAATGTCAGTTCTCAGGAAACAACTGAGTAGAGTTACCTTTGTAATCATGGTTCACTGTTTTACATACTCTTAGTCTACACACAGGAGATATCTTCTTTGAGTAGAACCTTCAACACCACATTTTGTTCCTGGGTCAAATTCTTAACAACAACAACAAAAAGCAGGACCTTACATTCTCTGTGACTATTTGACCACAAAGATAACCTCTGTTATAAAAAATAATCTGAAATTCCCCTCTCATGTTTTCATCAACAATACGGCTCCATGAGTGTATAACCATCCCAATGAAGATTCTGGACCGATGAGAAAGCAGACATGTGCTTTCATAGTTGCTGAAAGTTTTGGTAAAAGCTGGGTCCAATATCTTTTCTCATATTCCACTCTGAGACATATTGAAAAAATCAGTCCTAAGTATCTTCAAAATTGTGCCACCTCTGGACTAGCTTTCTAGTGATAACATTTGTTCAAGTGTAGATATTCTTTCTGATCACATCTAAAGTATTAGTCATTTTCTCACAAGGATCTCATCAAGTACTGAGGTGTTAGAAACCAAATGTGGTGGTTCCACTACCACTGGCTCACAGAAGTTAAGGAGTTGGAAAAGACTTGAACCTTTATCTGGTACAACTCATTCACAAACGAAATCTCTAACATCAGTGTAATATATTGACAACCTATCAGTTTCTGCTTGAAGTTCTATGAGGAGGGGGAAACTACTATCTTTTGAAACCTCTTGAAGCAAATCATTCCACTCTAATTTTCAGATTTTTTTTCCCTGAGAACTAAAAAATATTTGAAGCTTTGCAGTTTCCACCCACTGCTCCTCGTTCTTCTGTCCTCTAAGACCAGTCAGTCAGTTAATAAATGTTGATTAAATGCCTACTAAGTGCTAAGCACTGTGCAAAGTGCTGAGGATACAAAAAGGGGTAAAACAGAACACATCTATTGGAGGGATATATATCCTCATGTATCCTCCACATATCCTCAAATACTTGAGGACAGCTAGCATAACCCTGCTATTTTCCAGGCTAAACATGCTCAATTCCTGCTATGACATGGACTCAAGACGCTTCAGCATCCTGGTTGCCCTCCTCCAGCTTATCAATGTCTTAGCATCCAGGACTGAACACAGTTAGGGCAGAGCAGAATTAGGAGATCCCAATTCTTAGAAGCTATGTCTATCATAACTGATGAATGGGGCCACCCTCTTCCTCTCCCACACCAATCACCCAGTGTCCATAACGTAACTGGAGGGCCCAAGTCTGGACTTGTGCCAAGTAAGCTTCCCTCTCCCTCAATGCCCAATATTTCTGCCAGTGCCTCTTTCCTCTCTTCTTCTCCTGGCTAGAGTGGCGCTAACCCCCTCCGTGTGCTGGAAAGAACCCAGAATCCCCACTCCATTCTGACTCTTAGGACTACTCCCTTCTCATCAATGGTGGTAGACTACTGAAAGAACATTCAGGTGCCCTACCAATATATCCCAAGTACTACTAAACCTTGCTGTCTGCCCTGTCTCTGTACCCTTAAGGCCTCTGAGCCTTTCCATGAGCCCTAAGCTGAAACTTAAATATCTTGTCTCCCTTAATTAGAATCTGAGACCTTGCAGGGGAAGGACTGTCATTTTTTTCTATTAGTATCCCTAGTACTTGACACAGTGATGGGCACAAAGTAAGAACTTAATAAATGCTTTTTTCATTCATTCACTAATGAGGATAGATCACTATTAAAAAATGTAAGGAGTTATTTCCTTTCATGTCTGTTGAATGCCCTTCTAGTTTCATCTACAAATGGTCTTAGGATGATGAAGCTTAGACGG